GTTTTATAAACAAATGTTAAAAATTGTTTTTATACGTAACTGGGGCAAAATAAATAAATTTTAAAATGAAAAAATAAAAATCAGGAGGAAGAAAGGAAAAAAAAAAACTTCCAGACCGCAGAAGGACACATATAAAGAAGCAGATAAAAATAAGGTTGGCTAGGTATGATGGAACCAAGTATGAAGGGTGCTGAAAACTGGCAAAGAAAATTAGTTAATATAGTAAGCAAGAAATCAGTAAAGACTCTTAAACAACAGAAAGATTTGTCGCTGGAATTCCTGGGTCTGAAACCCTACTCTACTACTTATTATCAGGGTGACCTCAACCACCCTCAAATCAGTTTCCTCTTCTATAAAATTAAGGGCTTAGGCTAGATAATGTCCAAGATTCCTTCCAGATCAAAATTCTGAGATATGAAGGCCCTTATAACCTCCTACCTACATTCTTACAATATCCTTTTAACTGGTTTTTCTGCCTCAAGCCTCAGCCCACCCTGATCCATTCTTTGCTCTACTACCAAAGCAATCTTCCTAAAGCACAGGTCTCAACAAGTCACCCACCTATTCCATAAACCAATGTCAGAGTACTCAATTACCTCAAAGATCAAATACAAAATCTTGTTTTTTCTTTTTAAATTTTATTTAGTTTGTTACATTTTGAGTTCCGAACTGTCTGTCCCCCTCTCTCCCAACCCTGCATTAGAAAAGGCCAACATTTGACAAAGATATATATGTGGAACCATACAATACATACTTCTACATATCAGTTCTTTCTCTGAAGGTAGATAGCATCTTCCTTTATAAGTCCTTCACAATTGATTTGAACATTCATATTGCTCAGAATAGCTTAGTGATTCAGTCACTTTTCAAATAATACTGCTGTTATACAACATTCTCTTAGTTCTCATTTCACCCTGCATTATTTCATTAAAGTCTTTCCATGCTTTTCTAAAATCAACCTGCTCATCATTTCTTACATCACATATTACATATTACCACATCTTACTCAGCCATTCCCCAAATGATGGACATCCCCTCAATTTCCAGTTCTTTGCCACCACAAAGAGAATCACTATAAATATTTTAGAACATATAGGTTCTTTTCCTTTTTCCTTGATCACCCTGGGAAACATTCGTCAATAGTGGTATTGCTAGGTCAAAGGGTATATTACACAATTTTATAATTCTTTGGGTATAATGCAAAATTTCTCTACAAAATAGTTATCAGTTCACAATTCTACCAACAGTGCATTAGTATTCCAATTTTTCCACATTCCTTCCAACATTTGTCATTATCCCCTTCTATCATTTTAACCAATCTGATAGGTGTGAGATGATACCTCAGAGCTGTTTTAATTTGCATTTCTCTAATCAATGGGGGCAGCTAGGTGGCACAATAGATAGAGCACCAGGCCTGGAGTCAGGAACACCCGAGTTCAAATCTGGCCTCAGACGCTTACTAGCTGTGTGACCCTGGGCAAATCACTTAGCCCTGTTTGCCTCAGTTCCTCACTTACAAAATGACCTGGAGAAGGAAATGGCAAACCACTCCAACATCTTGTCCAAGAAAACCCTAAATGGGGTCATGAAGAGTCGGACACTATTACAAGACCCAACAACAACAACAATCAATCAATGGTAATTTAGTACATTTTTTCATATGCCTATATATAGCTTTGATTTGTTCTACCAAAACAATGCCTGTTCACTTTGTTTGACTATTTATCAATTGGGGAATGGGGCATTCTTATAAATCTGACTCAGTTCTCTCTATATTTGAGATATGAGGCCTTTATCCAAGGAATTGTCTATAAAATTTTTTTCTCAATTTCATGCTTTCCTTCTAATCTTGGCTACATTAGTTTTATTTCTACAAAACCTTTTTAACTTAATGTAATCAAAATTACCCATTTTACATCCCGCAATGCTCTCTATCTCTTGTTTATTCATAAATTCTTCTCCTATCCAATAAATCTGATAGGTAATATGTTCCATGTTCTTCTGATTTACTTATGATAGCTCTCTTTATGTCTAGGTCTTGTATCCATTTTGATCTTAACTTGGTAAATGGTGTAAGATATTAGTCCATAACACAGGTTCCCAAATTTATTTGACCTGCTGCCCCCTTTTTAAAAAAATTACTTAGTGCCCCTCCCTGGAAATCTACTTTAACACTTTTTTAAAATTTGCATAATTTCAAAAAATATAAAATATATATTTTTTAAAATGACACATATTGAATTTAATAATTTATTATAAATATGTGGGGTTTTTCCTGCATTGAAATTTTGGTGACACAATATTGTCATGTAACTGTATAGTGCCGTATTATAAACAAGTCACTACATGCACATATTCCTGTTGAATCATGATGCTGGACTTCCCGACAATTAGTAAGAATGCTCGCCTGCCAACACTTGCGTGTTAAGACCTGTCAGCGGACTTGACCACTGATAGGTTATAACTTGCATTTGGTGTGTTTATTTGGAAAATAATATTATCACTACAACTTTAACTGTTACACAACATATGAAACATTTACAGTTTTTCAAAATTTTCTTACTTTCTCTTCTTTCCTTATGCTTCCACCACCCCCTTATTTTTATTTAATGCCCCTCAATTGCACCCCAGGCTACTATCATACCCCTGCATCATTCCAGTGCCCCACCCAGGGGCCAGTATTGCCTACTTTGGGAACCTAAAGTCAATACCTAGTTTCTGTCAGACTGCTTTCCAGTTTTTTCAGCAATTTTTACTAAATAGCAAATTCTTACCCAAAAAGTTAGATCTTTACATTTATCAAACACAATGCTACCATAATCATTAACTACCGTGCATTGTATATCTACTCTATTCCATTGATATACCATTCTATTTCTTAGCCAATATCAGACAATTTTGATAATTACAATAATACAGTTTAAGATCTAGTGCTAGAGCTCCTTCCTTTACATTTTTTTCATTAATTCCTTTGATATTCTTGACCTTTTGTTTCTCCAAATGAATTTTATTATTTTTTCCAGCTCCAAATAATTTCTGGTAGTTTGACTGGGGTGGTACAAAATAAGTAAATTAGGTAGAATTGTCATTTTTATAATTATTGGCTGGGCCCATCCATGTACAATTAATATTTCTCTAATTATTTAAATCTGACTTTATTTGTATAAAAAGTGTTTTATAATTATAATTATGTTCATATAGTTTCTGAGTTTGTCTTAGCATATATACTCCCAGGTATTTTCTGTTGTCTATGGTTATTTAAATGAAGTATTTCTTACTAGCTCTTCTTGCAGGGCTTTGTTGATGACATATAGAGATCCTGATGACTTACGTGGGTTTATTTTGTATCCTACTATTTGGATAAAAGTGTTGTTTCAACTAATTTTTTAGTTGAATCGCTAGGATTTTCCAAGTATACCATCATATCATCTGCAAAAATAGATAAGTTTTATTTTCTCATTGCTCATTCTTATTCCTTTGATTTCTTTTTCTTCTCTTATTGCTATTGCTAGCATTTATAGCACAATACTGAATAATACTGGTAATAATAGGTATCTTTTGTTTCACTCCTAATCTTATTAGGAAGGCCTCTCTCTGTTGCAGATAATACTTACTGATGGTTTTAGGTAGATTATTGTTGCTGTTCAGTCATTTCAGTCATGTCCAACTCTTCATGACCCCATTTGGGTTTTCTTGGAAAAGATAATGTAGTGGTTTACTGTTTCCTTTTCCAGCTCATTTTTATAGATGAGGAAACTGAGGCAAAGAGGGTTAAGTGATTAGCCAGTGTCACACAGCTAATAAGTGTCTGAAACTGGATTTGAACTCTGGTCTTCCTGACTCCAGGCCCAGTGCTCTATCCAATGTACCATCCACCCTTTTTAGGTATATATGTCTTACCATTTTAAGAAAAAATCCATTTATACCTATGCTTTGAAGTATTTTTAACTGGAATGAATGTTATATTTTGTCAGAAAGCTCTTTCTGCATTTATTGATATAATCATATGATTTTTGTTGATTTTGTTATAACCAATATAATTTTAATATAATCAATTAAGTCAATAGTTTTTGTTATATTGAACCAACTTTGCATTCCTGATCTAAATCCTATTTGATCACAATGTATAATCTTTATGATAAATTGTAGTAGTGTTCTAAGTAATATTTTATTTAGGATTTTTGCATCAATATTCATGAGTGAAATTGGTCTACAATTTTCTTTCTCTGTTTTAACTCTTCCTGGTTTAGTTATCAGCACCACTCAATTGTTTTAAAAAACCATTCAAAACCTGGGTCCTTCCTACTTTTCTAGTCCTCTTATACTTGATTCCCCCCTTCACAGACTGTTCCTGTCACAAGACCCTCCATCTCTCCATGCATTTCCTCTGGCTTTCTCTCACACGGGGAATTCTCTCTCTCCTCATCTCTGCCTCCTGGTGGCTTTCTTCAGGTCTCAGTCAAAATCCCACTTTCTACAACAAATCATTCCTGGGCCATTCCTCTGAGATTAAATATCTTGTCCGTATATAGTTGTTTACATCCTGGCTCTTCCATTATAATGTGAGCCCCTTGGGGGTAGGGACTATTTTTGCCCTTCTTTGTATCCCCAGGACTTTAGCACAGTGTCTGGCACACAGTAAGTGCTTAATAAAAGTCAGTATGTTAACTATGACTTGCATATTTGTCTTAGACTGACCCGGTCTCACCTCAAAACAGACACTCCTACACATACATTTAAACTGTAAATTTCCTGAGGGCAGGGACTGCGTGTGACCCATTTTTATGGCCCCCAAGAACCCAATAGAATACTTTAAATGTGGATGATACTCCATTGAGTCAATTGAACTGACTTAAATTTCTTATAAAGTTTGCAATAAAAATACCAGAAGCATCACAGCAATTTTCTTTGCCTTACCCTACTTGTGCAGTACATCTTTCTACTAGTGCTAAAGGTAGAGAACTTAACCCCAAAGCAACACAAGTCACATATAATCTCACCTTGATGTAACTGTCATCACTTCATCCTCTTCAGGTGTATCCTCAGCAAATAGGACCTGGGAATTCTGCAATGAAATGGACAATATCTTAAATAAATGTATATACAGTCAAAATGGATTTTCTCCTTTCCTTCATTTTTTCAGTCCTATCAACAAGCAAACAGGAAATGAAGGCTATATGTACTGTGTAAGTCAGAAATGAACGCATGACCAGAAAAGCAACTGTCTCTCTGTATGGGGTGGTCAAAGATGGGAAAAAAGTATAACTCAAAGTTAATAGTGAATTAGAAGCCAACTTTCAATTTGGCTTATAAATTAGATTTTTTTTAAAGCACTCTGTACACAATAAGGCTAAAACAGAACATCTATAAGAGTAGAGAAATACAGCAAATTAGCACACAATCTGTCATTATGGTTTTGATGTCTGATTGTGTATTTGGTCAGACATATGGAATATTGCGTTCAGTCCTGAGCACTTCATTTTAAGAGAAAAACTGACAAATCAAAACTTGACCAAAGGAAGGCTGCGAGGATGGTGATGGGTCTGAGAGTCATTCATGCATACAATAACTATTTACTATAGTAACTGAGTATCTCACTCCCCACTATGTTTCCAGCACATCATGAAAAGGTGAAGGAGCTAGAGATGTTTGATCTAGAGAAAGATTTTTACTTTGGGAGAAGGAGATATAATGAAACATAATGGCTACCTTCAAATATCTGAAAGGTTATCATATGGAGAAGACCTTGGCTCCAGAGGACAAAACTAGGAACAATGGGTTGAAGTTATGAGGAGAAAGGCAAATTTATTCTCAAAATGAAGAAATTTCCTAAAACTCTTAACAGTCTGAAAATGGAATAAGCTTCCTCATTGCGATTTAGTAGGCTCCCCCATCCCTTGAAGTATTTGACCAGAAGGTAGATGTTTACTTGTCTAGACTATTATAAAAATGACCCATCTTTTTAGTAGGTGATCCTGTGAGTTCCCATGACTTTTTAAAATGGGAGAGAAGAGAGACAAAAATGGCATTTTATTTGATCAAAGTAAAACTAGATTAATCTCAATTCACTGAATGTAGGTAGATAGGAAGAAGTCACAAGAACAACACTAGGAAATACTACTGACAAGGGGCTCTACTCCAACTCTGCTACTTGAAAAAAGTTTACGGTTTTCCATATCACCTACCAGAACACAAGTAATACAAACAAGCTAAGTATCCTTTCACTCTTCAGGTAAATGATTAAATACACTCAAAAACTGGAAGTTGAACCTTCAGTCATAGAGAAGATGGTTATACAATGACCCAGGAGTGAAGTCATCAGGAAAAATGAGAGGTGAAAAAAAACATGGAAAATATGACAGCAATACATATTGCACTAGACTATTTTTTTAAACTCGGGAGTAACATAATGATGTTCTACCCCAGAGAGCTTCAAAAAGGAAAAGAAAAAGAGAAACAACACTGACACCTAGTGTCAACACTGCATTATGGCAGAAAGAATACAAAAACCTAATGACACAGAAGTTTGTCAGGATACTCAACTGTCCTCCCTAAGAATATAGTTCTGAATAATAGCCACATCCAGAGAAAGAACTATGGAGCTGGAATGTAGATCGAAGCATACTATTTACTCTTTTTTCTCCTCTTCTGTTTCGTTTTGTTTCTTCTTTCTTGTGGTTCCTCCTATTGGTTCTAATTCTTCTTTACAACACGCTAATGTGAAAATGTTTAATAGGAATGTATATGTAGAGCTTATGTCAGATTGCATGCCGTCTTGGGGAGCGAAGCAGGGATGGAGGAGGAGAAAACTTATAACTCAAAAGCTTATGGAAGGGGCAGCTAGGTGGTGCAGCAAATAGAGCACTGGCCCTGGAGTCAGGAGGACCTGAGTTTAAATCCAGCCTCAGATCAAACACTTAACACTTACTAGCTGTGTGACCCTGAGCAAGTCATTTAACCCCAACTGCCTTTAAAAAAAAAAAAAAGCTTATGGAAGTGAATGTTGAAAACTAAAAATAAATAAATTAATTAAATTTGAAAAAAGAAAAAAGAATATAGTTCTGGATGACCATGGTAAAACAGCCTGACTATTCTCCTACAGGACCTACAACATCATCAACTTTTTCCTTCCAAAGTCAGATTCTGCCCCATTAAATTTCATAAACCCTTTCCCTGAAAGTCTATGTCAACCAATAGCTAAACATGACTTCAAAGTCCTATTTTTTAAAATTTCTGAACAAATCTTATAATGTTCCTTTATAGCCAATTTTTCTCATTCTAAAAACTTGGCAAAATTTGCATAGATCAGATTTACATGGAGATCACTTGTTTTCTAAGAACTTTCTCCTTACTTTTCACAGCTTTGTTCTTCTACCATCTCAATAATTTTCCATTAAGGAAGACCAAATGTGGCCTCTTCCCATCAAAGCCATATGTTCAATGGTAAGTGTTTGACAGTGCTGACCATCTTCCTTCTGTGAAACATTTAGCTCCAAAAATGAAAGATCCAGAGAAGGTATAGAAAGTTATATGTATTTTACCTATGTCACTAATATTCTATCCCAACCCCTAAGTTAAAAAAAAAAATGAAGACAAATGGAGAAAATGGAATTCTCCCTGCTACTGTCATTTACAGAATGTGAAAACTGGAAGGGCATCAGAGATCAATCTAATCCAAACTCCAGCATTATGAAGATAAGAAAACTGAAGTACAAAAAGGGAAATGACTTGGCTAAGGTCATTCATCAAAGAGGAGAGAGAACTAGACTTCAACCCAGAGCTTCCAATTCCAAGTCCTACACTGCTTCACTACACTACAGCCCATGAATTCTGCTCTTCGAGCTAGAGAACTTCTAAGGAGTCACTGGCCACAAACATTTCTGTAGCTGTTCAAAGATTAGTGCTCAATTTTTGCTTTCAGACTAATCTGCTCTCCTTAGCAGTCAAACCCTTTGCATTTTTCAAGTCAACAATGCGAATGACAATAAATCATTAAGTGTTAACTATTCTGGAGTAAATTTATTCCTTTAAAGGGATATCTCTGGGTTGCAAAGTACTATCAACTAATACATCTTCTTATATCTAAATTTCCCTTCTGTGAAAAAAAAAAATGTCTTCTAGTAGTGGTTGGATGATCACTTGTTGAGCATATTGTACAAGGCAGTCTTGTTCAGGTACAGGTTGGACCAGATGACCTCTAAGGTCCCTTCTAACTCTCAAGTTCTATGATTCTATAATTTGGGAACAGAACAAAATGAAGGAACAAAATTTCACTTCCTTTCCAAGAATCTTTCTAGATTCTTATAAAGCAAGCTGGTAAAGACAATGATTCCCAAAGAAGTGCTAAGTCCCAGCTAATTTAACAATACTAGGTTTCGAGTCCCTTTTAAAGGACAAATTAACAGGTTAAGGTTAACCCATATTCCTGTTCATTCTGCAGGTAAACCACCCCTGTCCCTGATATTCCTGGATCCTTACCTGATGGTGACTGGTTGTTGGTTCTTCCTCCAACAAAGGTTTTTCTTTCAAATTCTGCAATGGGCTCCTGTGGGGATTCTTACTTTTTTGGCGCAAGGTAGATGCCCTTGATTCTCTCCTTGCTTCTGTGTTATTTCCTATCTCTTTTGTGATAGCTTCATTTACTCCTTTGGCTTGCTCTCTTTCATCATGATCCTTTTGCAGCAGAGAATGACAGCTGGGTAATATTGGCTCTCCAAACTCTTTTTTCTGAAAAAGCTGCCTCTGAGCCAATTTCAGGCTTTTCTGATAAACCTCTAGCTGACACAGAATAACCTTAGTATACTGGTTAGGGTCCACTCCAATAGGACAGAATGGGATGCCCCAGTAATAGTGCACAGTGCCTCCAATTTCCTCCTGCAGACTCTTGACATCAATTGTGCTAGGGAGACAGAGTTGAGATGCCTTTCCTTCCCCTTGTGTAGCCATGAGAGAACCATAGCCTAGTCTACTATTTTCTTCAAGTTGTTTACACTTTATATCCTCAGCCCACTGGCTAGTTCCACTGTCAAAAAAGTTAGAGTTCTTACTCTCAAGAATTGTCTTCGTGGGTTTATCCTCAATTCCTGAACTGTCAGTGATTGGCTGCATTTCCAAGTTTCCACCATGATCCAAACACTTCTCTCTTCCCTCAATCTCCTCTTCTTGGCTAACACATGGGTTTGCAAACAATTTCCGAGGTACCAGCTGCCATGTTCCTATAGGTACTCGAGAAAAGGTAGGGCTCAGGACAACCTGTTTTTTACCAGGAGGACTTGATAAATTATCACTAGAGTCACTTAACATGGGTGAAGAAGGTGCTTCATTGGATTTAAGCGAAGGCTGGCTCTTTTCTTGAGATAAAATTATGCTTGATAATAATGAGCTTTCAACTATTTCTTGACTTAACCTCTTCAGCATCACCAGAGGGCTTTTGGGCATTTCTCTCTGTCCAGATTGAGATCCCTGTGACAGGGATGTGACAGATGAGTGTGGAGATTCAGGACAAGGAAACAAGCATTCAGAAGTCTCAGAAACCACTGGTTTTTCTTGGTGGTACTGTGCAAGTATTCCAGTGAACAAAGGTGCAGGACTTGTAGCAGAAGAATTCGAAGGCTGGCAACTCTGAAACAAATTACCCCACCCACCATAAAATTATTAATGCAGATGCACATGAGAAGCAATTAAAAAAAAAGTAGAGGATACTGCTCGTATAAGTTCTTCCTCTCCAACATTTGGAGGCTCAATCTTTTTTCAATAACCAGTGTTACCTGACATAAATGATGGCTTAGGAATGCAATTATCTCCAACTACATTCCATATCTTTTCATTTAATTTGTTTACCCACTAAAGAGTTTATATCCATATATTACAAATTTACATGAATATAATTTGAATCTTCAGAAAAACTACCAAATCTAATTTTTAATCTCTACCTTTCATCCCATCTCCCACCTCAATTTTTACTCTTTCTGCTTTCCCCACAGGAGGATGCTACCTTGTGTCCTGTTCTCTTTAGTCCTTTATACCAAATATTACTATTTTGAGAGTAATGAGAGCTAGTAATTTTATAGTTTGCAAAGGACTTTCCTCATAACAACCCTGTGAAGTAGAAACTTCTTAACCCCATTTAACAGAAGAGGAAAATGAGGCATAGAGAGGTTAAATTACTTGCCCACGGTCTCACCACTAGTAAGTACCAGAGTTTATACTTGAAGCCAGATCTTTTAGCTCCAAGTCTATCAATCTTTCTTTCCCATGATGCCACACTAAAGTAGAAAAGTATTTTTTATTGAACACTATTCTACAACAGCTTAAAAAAATCTACAGAGTAAATGCTTTCATACAAAAATTAACAACAATTCAAATGATGCTCGCCCCCAGTGCCTCATGGGTTCTTTCTCATGTGGATTTATAAACTGTTCCCTGTAATTTTAGGAAATAGTAGAGAATACCCTCTTTCCAGTGACTAGTCTTGTGACTGAGGGAGTGAAAGAACATAGCGGAGGAACCCCACCAACACTTTTTAAGGAGAGGCATGATTACATTCAGGCTCTCAGCGATGGCCTTCCTTAAGAGCTCCTCTTCCTCTTCCACCTGGTCATTCACTTGCCGTGCTTCCTGTTCACTCATTTTCAGAGCCAGAGCAAACTGTTCATCTTCGGTCATCTCTGAAAGTTAAAGGGAAAAAACAAATCGTCTGTTTGTTTGAATGTAAAGAATGGAATCACAGATTATTAGGAGCTGGAGGAGACCTCAGGGTTCATCGAATCCTGCCAGGCACAAACACTGCAATTTTCCTTCAGTCTAGAACTCTATTCTAGCCTCTTGCCTCCCAGGCCTGGGCTCTTTCCACTGATCATACTCTACATTGGCATGGGTTTAGTTTAAGTCCTCCATAACTAACTTACCACAGCATGGACTTGAACTTGAGCTCTCAAAAGCTACACCCATGAAGCACAAGCAAAGCTGGAAATGTTTCAAATAAAATCCTGGAGATAGAGCCTGTGTGTCACTGGGAGACTAGCCTAACTAATTTTGGAAAGGTTTGCACCAGGTTTCAGGTTTTTCAACTATAATACTTCAAAGAAAGACATTGATGTGTGTATTCCTTCCCCCCAACGATGTAAATTGCAACCTAGGGATACCTTTCCTACTCTGAAATTTCATTCATCCTATATATTCATCACAGAGGAAGAAAAAAATAATCCTAAAATTTTTTAAACCTCGGGGTGTTTTCCTTAGGCTCGCTTCCATGCCATGATGAGCAGCTAGGTCATGACCCCTGCATAAGTAACAAAATTTTTCAGCCTCGCTTTCCTCATCTGCAAAATGTGGATAAAAATAGTACCTCCCTCACACAGTTGTTGTGAAAATCAAATGAGACAACATAAGTAAAACACTTCGCAAATCTTAAAGCATTATATAAATGTTAGCTATGAAAATGATGATGACGAGTATCAGAGGAAGACTTTAGTGTAGGTCTTAGTACATAATGAATTAATGCTTGATCCTGAGTTGTTGATGATTAAAATCTGCCAAAGGAAATTTTTGTGTTGGATTTGTGCTACAGCACAATATGCTAGAGGCTTTCCTCAAGCTCTCTAGATATTTCATGAATACCAATGAAGCACTTAGGTTATCTGTTTCTTGCTCTCACTATATATGTGATGAGCCCATTTTTTTTTCCAGTTATACACTGCTCTAATGACATCTTACACAGCTACCTGTTCTACAAATTTCCTCACTTAAAATGTACTGTAACTTGTCCATGTCCTCTACAATAATTCAACTTTAATAATTCAGACTACAGAATTTCATGACTTGAAGTCATACAATATCACCAGAAGAACACTGGTATTAAAAAGACTGTTTAGGAAAAAGCTTGGGGTTATTAAAATAACTGTATAGTTTCTTAAAGGCAATCCAATGCATTCTCCTCCTATTCAATTCTGGACCCAAATCACTGATTATTACAATCGATGTCCAAGATAAATATACTGGACAAGCTCTACAGGCTTTCCTTCCAACTGCATAATCATTAATAAGTTATTTTTCATCCATTTGTTTTTTTCTTGTGTGGCTGGTTAGGACAAACTCTTTTGAATGATTATTTATCTTACTGAATGAATGTATTTTATTTAGAAAGTTCTGCAATGTTCCAGGATTTCATGAAATCAGCACACCGTCATGTACAAACATGAGCACCTAGAAGAACTCATGATTCATAGAGAATATAGCTTTTATTTGAACTAAACTGGTATTCCACCACATCCACCACGACACTGAGGAATATCTTTGGTAAGCATACATTTGTTTTTATCCTTTGTTTCATAGCACTGCTAAATATAGTATTCGCTGTTGTTCTAACTTTCAATGTATCTTGAATTTTTCTGACATATGCATGAGAAGACACCTTGTCAGAGGGTGAACACTAAAGAAGCTAACTCTACCAAATCACATCAATCAATGAACGATCAAATCGATGAACAAAAAGTATGGCAGGATTTTGTGTTCTTCATGCCTTTTGGTCAGTTGTTATTGTGAAGATGTGAGCTACTTTGGAGTATAATTTGGAAAATCTCTGCATCTCCTTTCTAGTGCCCTCATCAAGAATATCCTTAATTTGTGTGTTATTATTGTTCAGTCATCTCAGTCATGTCCAACTTTTTCTGATCCCATTTTGGGTTTTCTTGGCAAAGATACTAAAGTGGCTTGCAATTTCCTTCTCCAGTTCATTTCACAGATGAGGAGCTGAGACAAACAGGGTTAAGTGATTTGTCCAGGATCACAAACTACTAAGTGTCTGAGGCCAGATTCGAACTCATGAAGTTAAGTCTACCTAATTCTAAGCCCATTGCTCTATCTACTATACCACCTAGATGCTCTATCAATTTGTGTATAAAGTCACGTAAAAATTTCTTTATTTTTTCACCTAATTTTGATCTTTGCTCCAACAAATCTGAGTTAGGAACGTGCATCTCTTTCCCTTCTTTACAGAAGTAGGAAGCTATGAGTATAGAATATTTCATATATGTCAAACACAGCTCATCTGTTATTGGTTTTGCTGAACTGCTCTTTTTTCTCTTTCTTTTTTATTATGTTACAAAGGATGTTTTGCTGAATATAGGAGAGGGAGGGATATATTTGGAATTAAAGGTGATATAAAAATTAAAAGTTATCAATAACAATAAAAAAGCAGGAAAACTTAAAAAAAAAAACAAATCAATGGTATGATCAACTAATTCAGGAATGAATCCCATATCAGTAATAAGTTGCTTCCCAGCTATTAAAATAGAATTAATTTCATTTTTGGAAATATATGTTCCTTTTCACATGCAGAGTCAGATGATTTTTTTCTCACGAGGTATTCATGATAGTCACGAGACTTCTGTGTAGTCTACAGTCTTTGGCCTCTTATTCCTTACTCCTAAACCACATTTTTTGCAATTCTTACCTACACCCATCTTTGCATTGTAGTCACCAAATACAAAAGCATATGATTTAATTTGGACAGTTCTCCACAGAATTTCTCTATCTCATTCTATTTTGCAACCAATAAGCCTAGGAGCCATCACTGCACATAGAATCAATATCCTTTTATCTTATAGTCTCACTAATATGAATGTCAAGATTCTAGTAAGTCCACTCTTTCGTATCTAAACAAATATCACACGTTCCAACAGCTTACAGTCTTAAAAATTGTGATTCTTAGCCTTCCAACATTCTAATGCTGTTAAGGTAGATAGAAGTCTTATAAGACTAAGGTGTATTTTGTATTTTTTTTTGTTTAATGGGTTGCCATGGTTAAAGATTTCATTCCAAAGTAGCCAATCTATTAGTAAGATAGTCTTAATCAACAGGGCTAGCCCTCAGAAAGTCGACTATCTTTTGCCAGGATTGTAACCAAAGTGTTTTGAGCACAGTAGAATTTATCCTGCTTATGCACCACTGGCATGGCTGAAGAAAATCCAATGTTACCTCTTTGCTGTAATAATGCGCTTGTTGAATTTTTAGCCATACCAAATCATTCACTAAGGCAGAGAGAAATTTTTGACCACCATCACTGGAGGGGGTCCCCACACTTATAAAATCATGGGTCCTTCAAGTAACTTATCTAAAATCAACTCTGTCCCTTTCTACATCTACCTTGTGAATTGGACCTTTAATAATCTTATCATAATCAGTAAACTGCAGGTGACAACTGCAAGCAAGCACTAAGTTACAATTTAAAAATAAAATCACATGCTGAATTTAAACAACTAATTAAGTTTGGCAAAGGCAACATGGGAAGAAAAAAGAAAGATATTCCAAGATAATAAATTTATACAAGAAAGAAAATAATTAAAGTGAACTGGCATTTTCCACAGACATCGTTTATCTATTACCATAGCATACATGTGTACACTAAAATATATACATGTATACATGCATGCATGTGTGTATCCAACCTTAATCTCTCTCCTGAACTTCATTCCTAAATTGCCAGCAGCCTAATGGGTAAATTCCATCTGGATGGACCACAGGAATCTCAAAGTCAACATTTCTAAAACACGATTCACTATATTTTCCCCAAAACTCATCCTTCCTCCAAATCTCCTTAATTCAGTTGAGGGTACCATCATCCTTCAATATCACCCAGGTTCCCAACCAACTTTTCCCTCTCTCTCACTCTCCATATCCTATCACTTGTTAAGTCTTCTCAATTCTGCCTCCAAAGTTTTTCTGATATACAACTCCTTTTCACTATTCACACAGGCTATAGTCTAATTCAAGTTTTCATCACCTCTCCTATACATTACTTTAATAGAGTCCTAACTGGTCTTCCTGTTTCCAATTTCTCCCCTCTCTAATCCATCCTCTATAGGACTAACAAAATGAAATTCCTAAAACACAGGATTTGCTCTTGTCACCACCATTTCCATACTAAGTTGACTGCACTCTGGCCATCACACTCAACTCCCTCCCTCTCACAAGAACCTTGGACTTATCCCTTGGTGTGCCAGGCTTTGATAAGCAAACCTTATTTTTCCCCATTTTTATTATTTTTTCAATTATTCAAATATTTTTACAATTATATGTAAAAATATTTTTAACAGTGGTTTATTGTTAGCTTTTTTTTTTGTTTTGAGTTCCAAAATCTATCCCACCCTCCACCTCCCTGAGACAGTAAACACTCTGATACAGGTTATACATATGAAATCATGTAAAACATTTCCATATTAGTCATTTTGTAGAAGAAAACTTGAAAAAGGAAGAGAGAGGAAGAGAGAAGGAAAGAGGAAAGGAAGGAAGGAGGGAGGAAAAGGAGAGAAGGTGGGAAAGGAGAGAGGAAGTAAAAAACAGTATGCTTCAGTCTGTATTCAGATGACATCAATTCTCTCTCTGGAAGAGGACAGCATTTTTCATCATGAGTCCTTTGGAATTGTCTTGGATCACTGTATTGCTGAGAATAGCTAAGTTATTCATAGTTCTTCATCATATGATATTGCTTGTTATTATGTGCAGTTTTCTCCTGGTTCTGCTCATTTCACTCAGCATCAGTTCACATAAGTCTTTCCAGGTTTTTCTGAAATCAACCCGTTCATCATTTCTTACATCACAATAATATTCCATTATAATCATATACCACAACTTATTTGGCCACTCCCCAATTGATGTGCATTATCTT